CGTGGTGCTGTCAGGGGGTGTGGAACTGGATGATCTTTAAGGTCCCTTCCAATCCAAACCATTCTATGATTCTATGAATTACAGTGCAGGAGAAGTGGCTGGTCTCCATCTCTAGAAGACACTTGTGGGGTTGTTTTTTTTTTAGTAGCCCATCAGTTAATTTCAAACCTTCCTTCCCTCCTGCCAGCTGCCCCTGACCTGGTGCTCAACGCTGAGCTGGTGCAGCAGACAGCCTACCTGGAGGACCGCCCCATGTTCATGCTGCAATGTGCACTGGAGGAGAACTGCCTGGCCAGCTCGGCCGTCAACACCTCCATCACTTCTGGGTACCGGCGCCTGCTGCGCTTCTCCTCCCAGATCCACAACAACGGCCAGTCCGATTTCCGCCCCAAGAACGGCCGCCACGCCTGGGTCTGGCACGACTGTCACCGGTGAGTGGCACGAAGGAGGTCGGTGCCTCCTTCCATCCCTTTCTGCTGCCCAGGGGGAGGATGCTTTGCGATGGGAGCACAGGGCTGAAGTGCTGGTGTGTCAGGGAGCTTTTCACATCCCTTTGATCTTATTTTATATAGAACACCCCGTGTTTGTATTTGAGTTTATTTCCTAGAATCCAAATCAAACAGTTACTTTTATCTATCCCTGTCTCTAAAGTTTACTACTAGTAGTAATAGCATATGTAGAGATCCACGTTACTACCAATCATGTAAACTGCCTAACTCCAAAAAAAACCCCCAAAAAACAGTGAGGTGTGTTTAGGGCATCTGCGATCCTCTGACAGCAGAGAAACCAGTTTATTATGGTTAAGAACTGGTATGTGAACAGGACAGCTGTGGAGCTCTCGTTGGGAGAGATGTACGTGCAAGGGCAGTACACGCAGAGGAGCACACGTACGTACGGACAGAGGGACGTGTGTGTTTGTGGACCCGCTGTGAGTAGAAAGGTGAAGCCATCTGAGCTACATCCCTCACCTGGGAAAGGACTCAAGAACACTTGTCCTCAAGAACACGCTGTCATTCTGTGTTTTTGGGGTTTTTTTTAAGTGCATCTCGATTCCATTTAAACTGTGAACAGCTGGGAACTGGTTTGTGCTGATTTTTGACAAACAGTAAATTTTCCCCTGTAAATTCATTACTTTTCAGGGGGAAACTGATAGGTTCAGCCAAAGTAAACTAAGGGGGGGAGGAAAGGAAGCTGGAACCAAGCCAGCCAGATGCTTTGCTTCTGAAATGATGGCTTGTTACAAGGTTGATTTTTCTCTAATTTGAGGTCAAAGGGAGTGAAGTAATTCATGGCACACGGCTCTCGTCCTGCCACTGTTGTAAGACTTTTGTTTTGTGGAAATATGAGGGTAATCAATTCTCAAATCAATCGGTCCTTGATAGTCTTCATCACGAGGTGAGACGTGTCGGTAGCGCGGCATCGGTGTCGTGATGCTGCAGCGCTGCTGGTCTGAAGCTTCAGATCGTGGTGTGGGGCCAACGTTGGCTGCTGCCCCCGCAGACAGGTTGGTTTGTAATGTTTGGAGTTGGAGGTGTGAGCAGAACCAAAGGGAAACAGGCATTAGAAGGGGTGTGGTGAGTAGGTCGAGAGAGGTTCTCCTCCCCCTCTGCCCTGGTGAGGCCACATCTGGAATCTTGTGTCCAGTTCTGGGCCCCACAGTTCAGGAAGGACAGGGAACTGCTGGAGAGAGTCCAGCACAGAGCCACCAAGATGATGAAGGGAGTGGAGCATCTCCCTGCTGAGGAAAGGCTGAGGGAGCTGGGGCTCTTTAGCTTGGAGAAGAGGAGACTGAGGGGTGACCTCATTAATGTTTATCAATATGTAAAGGGTGAATGTCAGGAGGATGGAGCCAGGCTCTTCTCAGTGATACCCAATGGCAGGACAAGGGGCAATGGGTGTGAGCTGGAACACAGGAGGTTCTGCTTCAACTTGAGAAGGAACTTCTTTATGGTGAGGGTGTCAGAGCCCTGGGACAGGCTGCCCAGGGAGGGTGTGGAGTCTCCTTCTCTGGAGACATTCAAGACCCGCCTGGACGCCTTCCTGTGTGATCTCATTGAGGTTCCTGCTCTGGCAGGGGGGTTGGACTGGATGATCCTTGGAGGTCCCTTCCAGTCCCTAATATTCTGTGATTCTGTGTTGAGGGGAGGAGGAAACTCAAAGCAGTGCAGTGTGTCTGATTTTCTAACCCGGTTGGGAAGGGGTTGGGGGGGTGTGTGGGTACCACAAGGCTTTCAGCACATGGCAGGATGGTTAAAAAGGAGTAAAATTAATTAAAAAAAGAGCACTTGGATCTTCTCAGGAGAGACTGCGTAAGTGAGGTGAGGAAAGGATCAGGAAGAGGCTGAGAGCCATCTGCGTGCTTTAAACTGGATTCTGTTTATACGGAGGAGGATGAACTCAATTCCTCTTCAATCTTTCCAGTCTGTAAACACCAGAATGTAAACACCTCTTTGAATGATTCAGACATATTTTAGAAACTGAGTCAGACTTGAGAACCTCAAACTTTTATCAGAGGCAGCCAAATGAGACAGCCTCAAAGTCAACAGCTCAGCCGCTGCAGAATCCCTCTTCTCTCTTAGCTGCCTCACTGGGAGCTTCTGTTTAGTTGGCTTTTGATGTGGAAGTAGAATAAAAATGGGGAAGACCTGGAGCAGGGGGTGAAAAGTGATTAATTTCTGGCAGGTGGCAATTTTTTTTTAAATTTCTTTATTTTTTTTGCTTAGGGGAAAGGCAGGAGGGGATAAGAAAGAAGAAACCCACTCTCTAGAGGAAAAAATTCCTCCCCTTCCCTCCTTGCTCCTCCTTTATCTGTAAATACGTGTGCAGAGTGACGCTGCAATCACGGTGGTTGGAAGTTTTTAAGCCAGGATTATTTTTGCAGCTGGAAAGGAGAGAATTTCTGCTCACACTTTTTTTTTTTGTTTGTTTTTCTTCTTTTTAAATTCCTAAGCAATGGCTTTTTGAATTAGGGCCTGTCTGTGCAGTTGCAGACAAGCTCTGGTATGTCTCAGCGCAGTGTTCCCATAGTTGGGGTGGACATAGAGTGAATTAAGGACCCGTTCTGCTCTCAGCACCCATGGGTGCTCTCCTGTCCCTGCAACATGCTCACGCTGTGGGTTTGCTCCTGATTCCAAGGCTGGGATTCAATCCAATGTGTTGCATCAGCACAACTGCATTTATTCACCAGCCCTGAGCACGTGGAGCACACAACTGTGTTTTAATCACGTATTTCCATCTGCTTCCTGCTCTCTCCAAGTGCCGCAGGCTTCAACGAGACCAAAGCACAGGTTTAAACTGACAGAGGGGAGGTTTAGATGAGATATTAGGAAGAAATTCTTTGCTGTGAGGGTGATCAGACTTTGGCCCAGGTTGCCCAGAGAAGCTGTGGCTGCTCCTCCCTGGAAGTGTTCTCAGCCAGGTTGGATGAGGCTTTGAGCAACCTGGTCTAGTGGAAGGTGTCCCTGCTGCTGGCAGGGGGGTTGGGACTGGATGAGCTTTAAGGTCCCTTCCAATTCAAACCATTCTATGATTCTATGAAATGATGATGGCTTTGAAACATTATTTATTTATTTATTTATTTAACCTTCCTTGCCATTATTAAACATGGTGTGATCCTACAAAGGCTGTGGCAAGGCTCTCCCCTGGAACAGCACAGACTTAGTTTTTTATGGAACCAGCATAGAAAAGGTCAATGTTGCCAAGTTTAACATCACCCAAACCCTGCTGTGGTCTGACTTTGCTAGTTGAGGGGTTTACAGCCCAGACTGTGTGCTCTGTCCTAACTGTTGCTGCACCCAACAGAGCTGGGAGCGTTCCCGACAGCAGCTCAGCCCAGGCTGAGTTGACACTAACACTTCCCCATTTAAAATTATGAAAAGTATCATGTGTGAACCCAGCTGTCAGGTTGTTTAGAGCCAAGCCAAGTGAGTGCTGAGAAAAGCCAGTTCCATCTGTTGTTAAGTATTTTTTCTGCCAATAAATTTACATTCTGCTGCTTAAAAAAATAAATAAATAAATAAATAGAAATAATCAGGTTGCTGCTCTGGGTACATCCAGCTCTGTTTGTAACCTGGTTTTAAGGAGCAGGTGAAATATTTCTTGGTAAGTGACAGAGCTGCTAGAAATGATGATGGCTTTGAATTTTTATTCATTCATTCATTCATTTATTTATTTAACCTTCCTTGCCATTATTAAACATGGTGTGATCCTACAAAGGCTGGGGCAAAGCTCTCCCCTGGAACAGCTTTAACACTTGACATGTAAACAAATATCCAAGCCAGGAGCCAACATAAAGTGATGGTACCACACAGAATTATGCCCAGGGGAATATTTCCTGGCTGTGGTTTCTCTCACTCTTCCTCCTGCAGTGCTGCTTGGTCCGTAGCATCTCATGGGTTATGTATTTATCCCCGCAGAGATGGGGCTGGGAGGTGGAATACTTGGCCTGAGGGATGCAAAAGCAGAGTGGAACTGGGCTACCTGCATCCAAGTCCTCATGCCCTGACCACTGGACCATCTCTGCTGGAGTGGACTGTGCTGTCCTTTAGAACTGGTAATTACAGGGCTGTCTGTTTTCCCTAAAGATAATTCTCCTCGTCTGTCTGTGCCTTCCAGGCATTACCACAGCATGGAGGTTTTTACCCACTATGATCTACTGAACCTCAATGGAACCAAGGTGGCTGAAGGACACAAAGCCAGCTTCTGTCTGGAAGACACCGAATGTGAAGAAGGTATATTTGTCAGAGCCCTTTGTGTTGGGAATTGATTGCTGTCCCCATACAGGTGACTGGAACGTGGCCTCACAGGAGCTAGAAACCAGTCCTGAGGTTTTATGTGTTATGGAGTGGTCTCTACAGGTATGAGAAGCCCTGAAGGCTCCATATGTGGAGGTTTTCAGACCTCGGCTCCTTACACAATAATTCTGAGCTGCTCTGAAAACCTCAGCGTGTGTTTTCCTATTCCTGTAGAGTGAGAAATTCCAAAGGTGCCTCTGGGTGCTGAGGTAGAGGAGGTGCAGTTAACCAGTAATTGATTTCAATATGTTGATTTCAATACAAGACACTGAGCAAGAAGACACTGTCATATTAAATCTCATCCAAAATACTGTCCCTGTAGTTTATCACTCTTTATAGAAGAGTTGGAAAAAAATGAGCCCCCAATTTGGACCTGTCTGAGGGTGGGAGATTCCCAACCTGACTTGCTGTGAATCCAACACTTGGTGCTTTTAACTTTTCTCATTTAGATATACAAAAACAGTACGAATGTGCCAATTTTGGTGAGCAAGGAATCACGGTTGGATGCTGGGATGTGTACCGTCATGACATCGACTGCCAGTGGATCGATATCACCGATGTCCCACCAGGAGATTACCTCTTCCAGGTATGGGAGAAAAAGAAGGTTTGAGATACTACCGTTGTTTTTATCTTATCCATTAGGGATGTCAGGAATGTAACCAATGAGTTTATTTGTACATTGTCTACAGAACTAGAAATTTCTGATTACAAAGAGATTATATTCCCAACACAATTATTATTGCATTGGGATTATTTCCCCAACACAAGAAAGACATGGACCAGCTAGAACAAGTCCAGAGGAGGCCACCAGGATGATCTGAGGGCTGGAGCAGCTCTCCTGTGAGGACAGGCTGAGAGAGTTGGGGCTGTTCAGCCTGGAGAAGAGAAGGCTCCAGGGAGACCTTCTAGTGGCCTCCCAGTACCTGAAGGGGCTACAAGAAAGCTGGGGAGGGACTTTTCATAAGGGCGGTTAGTGACAGAACAAGGAGAAATGGCTCTAAACTGGAAGAGGGGAGGTTTAGATGAGATATTAGGAAGAAATTCTTCACTGTGAGGGTGGTCAGACATTGGAACAGGTTGCCCAGAGAAGCTGTGGCTGCTCCTCCCTGGAAGTGTTGAAGGCCAGGCTGGATGAGGCTTTGATCAACCTGGTCTAGTGGAAGGTGTCCCTGCTGCTGGCAGGGGGGTTGGAACTGGATGAGCTTTAAGGTCCCTTCCAACCCAAACCATTCTATGACTCTATGATATGCACGGCTCCCACTGTTGTCTTGGACTAAGCTTTTGAGCTCTTTGTAAGCAACACTCGCTTCATTTGGGGATTAAATAGTGTGATTCTGGCAGTGTTTTGCATGAGGAGTTTGTTTTCTGTAAGTAGGTGGAGTGGGGAGAATTGTTTGGTTCTAAAATCAGCCACTTAAAGTGGAGAGGAGTGAAGGGAAGAGGAGTTATTTTTGTCTGCACTGTTACAGTGTGAAATGTCGAGGTGTTTGAGGGTGTATCTTGGTGCACGGGGGAAGGTGTGATCTTGATCTGGCTTTAGTCAAGTAGTTGATGTCTCCTTGCAAAATGAATTAGGTTTTTTCTTCCCCTGTTAAAAAAGTATTATGATGTAATGAAAAAGTGGATTCTGTCTCAGTCTGACTAGTAAGCATCACATCCAGCCCACTTGTGAGATAACTTTATGCTGTTTCTCCATCACTCCCCAGGTTGTCATCAACCCCAACTATGAAGTTGCTGAATCTGATTATTCAAATAACGTGATGAAATGCAGGAGTCGGTACGACGGGCAGCGCATCTGGATGTACAACTGCCACATAGGTGAGTGACTTCTTGGGGGGGGAGTTTTAATGGCTGCATCACTGACTTTTCACTAGGAATGCTCTCTTGCTTCTGTTGCAATGTGTTTATGTCCTGTTTATCACTTTATACGTGCTTGGAAAGATGAGATACTGAGCCCAAACTGTACACTGGTGCTAGCTGCCATCGACTGTTCGAAGGCAGACACCAAAATGTCCCTGCTACAGGTTGTAGAGTAAAATAAATAGATGGGAGTGGGATTTTTTTGTTATTTAGTGCTGTGTTATACCTGTTACAACGCTGGTAAAACAGCTCTCTCTGCAAGATCTGATAGAAATCCCTCAGGCTTGGTAAAAGGAGGATAACAGATGTTCCAGCTGTATCTCTACTACAAGGAAATGAGCATTTTTTTCCCTCCCAAGGAAAAAGAAAAGCTCTTGTGCAATCTGAGAACTTGTTTAGAGTGCCTGAGTAGGTGCAGGCAAACAATTACTCTTTCTTCCCAGACTCAAAATTATTACCAGCATGGGACTGACCTCTTCACACCCCAAAGCTTCTCTTTTCTTGAAAAGCAAACAAGTGATGTTGAAGCACAGCAGCAGAGAAGAGCCCTCTGCTCAAGCTAGAAATTAAAATGCTCTGCTGTGCCTCAAACCTGAGGGAAAACTGAGTATTTTCTTGAATACATGTAAAACATTATCATTTGGAATTTTTTTTTTTTGGCCTTAGAAGTATCAAAGCCAAATTAGTTTAAATTTGCATTAACAGTCAATTGTCAAGACCATTTAAAAATGGAATTAAGTTGGGGGCTTTAAGATAAACTGTGTTTTAACACAGCAAATAAATTAACAGCAACTGCCTGCCAACCTCCAACTAAAGCCAGTGGTGAAGACAATTTCCAGAGCTGGCTGAAGTTCTTCAAGGATTGTTTTTCCTGAAAAAATTCCATATAACCCCTGATTTTTCTCATTAATTTGTTGGGTAGTGTGTCACATTTCAGATTGTGACCTAGTTCAGGAAAGCCAAACCCACTTCATTTGGATGAACAGGCACTTAAGTGTTGGACAGGCTCTCCAACTGAGCTTGAAAATATTTCTACTTAAAAATAAATGTATTTAGCTTTCATTTGTCTCTCAATTAGCAATAAGTAAGGGCATGGACCTACTTAAGAAGGGTAAACAGAACCCACTTACCATTTCTCAGGTCCTGCTAGTCACCACCTCATTTTTATATTTTTTTTTAAACAGTTAGCAGTGAAATTGAGAGTAGTTTGTAGTCTAGTCTTCTAAATACATAAAAGACTAGATCCAATACTCCTGGGGACACTTGGCTGTTCCAGTTATGGCAAGATTTTAATTAATGCTTCAATTAACCGAGGAAAATCTCTGCTTTTCTAGTATTTGCTTTGAGCCCTTCATTTTCACAGCACCTTTTGCTGATGTGTGTGCTCTGCCTTGTATTACCTGCTACCTCCTGCTCACTCCTGTGCTCTTCTCTGTGACCTCCCCAGGTGGCTCTTTCAGTGAAGAAACCGAAGAGAAGTTTGATCACTTCAGTGGACTCACAAATAACAAGGTGTCCACCCGATAGAAGGGCATCACCTCCCACCCCACTATTTAAAGAAGCGAGGTTTCCTGCTTCGGTTATTTCCCTAACCACTGCACAAAAAAAAGAGAAAGAAAAATCAAGCAAACAATCAAACTCTAAATTAGCAAGGTAAATTATTTTCTAAAGGTACCTTCCTTCCCAGTTTAGGTGCTCAGACCACGGTGTGTCTCTTGTAACTCCAGTCCCTACTACTGAGGTAGTTAGGAGCAGTCTTTTAAACTCGACTTGGTTCTATCTTCAACGTTCCATTCTCTCCACAAAGATTTCTCCCTCCACTTTGCAGTGCCATCTTTATTCACAGACATAGGTCCAGGCTGCAGCAAGTATAATTTGCCTTTGGGTACCAACAACCTAAATAGTCTCTTTCTACCATTCATTTTCTTCAAGGCATTAATTTTGGTATCTTTAAGCTCTTTGACTGAAAACGCCTCCATTTGTGACGCTGCTTCTCGAACACGGCTAACCCTCAGTAGTACTGCCACGTCTTTACTCCATTTTAGCAAAAAAAAAAATACAGGAAAGGGGAAAAAAAAAAAGTTGGAGCAGCTTTTTCTGAGCAGAACAGTATAAAGCATAATTTAATACCGCAGTGACACTCTTGTATTCAACAATCGACTCCCAGCACAATCTCTGAAGCGGAGCAGCTAATGCAGAACTGTTTTCTACAAGTGCATCAGGGCTCCAGGAAGCTACACACCTCCCTTGTAACATCCAGAAGACTTTGCAGATCTCCTGATGATGAGTCCACTGGACTGTGAATTTCCATGACACAGTAAGCTATTCACCCAACAGATTCTATGTACATCTAAATATCACCTTTTAAACTGGATAATTCACTCTGTCTTTTCTTTAAAGGATGAATTTAGTTAAGGCATTGTATCGTCGCTGTACCTTACAGAGGTAACTTCATGGCTTTCATCATCAGGGATCTGGACCTGTGCTGTCACAGACCCACCTGTGTAAGTTGTCTTTTTAAACACTTGGTAAATTCATAATGGTGCTAAGTGTGTTCCTCTGTTTGTTTGAGGACACGCATTGCTACAGATTTTTCAGACACAGCTACTTGAACAGAAATGTTTTAACCCAGAAAAATGTTTTATATGCTATTTGTGTATTTCTATTCCAGGAAAGTTTTAGGGTCTTGTTCACAATTCTTGGTACTGAAGTTTTTTTTTTTCTTCCCTCTGTGTTTGTACAGAAGACTTCTCCACGCAGCTAAAGTTAACTGAATACTTATAGCTGCCTGTTTCAACCCACAGGGGGATTGAAACTGGCTGCATCTAACTTAGTGCTCTCCATAACCTACCTCACAGGGATGTTGTGAGGTTTAAAGAATGCAGAAGTCTTTTTGCTAATGCCTGTCAGAGTATTTGTCATTTATCCAGTGGCCCAGATGGGGGCATCTAGCAAAGGTTTGTAGCCTACTGTAAGTTGGAAAACTCCATTTTGTTCTCAAGATACTGGACTGTGTAGCAAAAGCAGAGTCTGAGATGTGTTGGATGCTCTATTGCTGCTGCCACAATAAGGCATCTTGCAGCATCTCTTAACATCAGTTTCTGGGCAAATCAGAACTGACAAGTTTTGGTTTTCTTTTCCTAATCAGTAAGTGACAGCTTTCCTTGCTAACAGTGCAATAACAAGTCAGGCTCTTTAAACTCAATGCAAATAAGGGGAAAAACCCTGAAACTTACCTGCATTCAATGCTTGTCAGTTTTGTGGGATATTTTAACAATAACAGTACAACAAAGTAAACATTAAACAGATTTTTTTTTAACTCCTGCAGATGCTCTGTTCTTGCTTACAGCTGAATTCTGACCAACAAGATACAATCCCTTACTCTAATGGATTTTTTTTTTTAATTTATAGAGCAGGCTTTTCTGTAAGCAGCTTTACATTCTGCAAGTGCCCCAGTGAGTAACAGATGATTTGAACCAGAGTAGATCATCAAGAGCTAACAGCAACCCTCACAGGGCTTGGCTCTTGAGCTCAAGATCTTATTAACAGTCAACTTTTACCCTTCCCCACTTAAAGAAAGAAAAGACGGGTGTTAATCCATAAGAGAACATCCCTGTGGCAACTCACTGTTCTGCATGCAGTTTAATATCACAGCCATGCTCATCTATACATTTATTTTTGTAGCTGAGATGGTTTATTCCTCCTGGTCCAAGCTTTCTGGCAGGAGCACTTCGGTGCCTGAAACATCCTGCTGCTTGTGCTTCAAACCCAAAGCCCGGCTCACCAGCCTCTTTGCCACGGCGGTGTCGGTCTGGGGTCTTTCCTTTGTAAGGTGAAGAAGCTCTAGGTAAAAAAAAAGAATGAGTGAAAATCAGTTAAGTTAGTGCTTGTTCAGGAACAGTCTCATGTCTAAACCACAGGACTGGCAGAGAGAAGGGCTGATTTCTATTTTCTTAGTTCCTGTACAGAATTAACCCAGCAGCATGAGCAAATCATTTTATCCCTTATCCAGTAAATTGCCTTTTCTTTTAGAAAGATGCACCTCCAGATTTGTACTTAAGACTTTTTTTCAATGACAGTTCAAAAGCTATTTGGCTGTGATTAAGCTCCAGGCCTCTTCTGGAGTGGTAGAGAGAATTATTCCCCATTCACTTTCAGTAACAACTTCTTAACTATTCCTGGCAAAATTCAGCCAGTCACATCTCTGAGAACAAAATGAAGGCACACAGTCCAACCAGTGTATATCCATGCACAGAAAAGTTTGATCTCAATTTAGATTAATCAAAACCAGCAGTTTAAATCCTTGGAAAGCAGCAAGAAAAAAAAAATCTGCATTTTTTTAAAAAATAGAGTTAAATATATTAGATGCTTTGGGAAAGCCCTTTGGCCAGTAACCTCCATTTTCTGGTAGACACTTGGCTTGTTACAGTTTCATCATACAAGAAATGAACACATCAAAACTTTCCCAAGTCCATAGTAGTCTGGATTTGGCAATTGCCTAATCATTAATCAGCAACTGTTTGCAATTTTATTATCCAGTTAGCAACTTTGCTTGCTTTTTCAGAAGCTTTATTAAACTTTATTATTATTTAATAAAGCAGCCCATCAGCAGCTTAAAGAAAAAGGGGCAGACTCAAAGCATCCCCAGCTTGGAAAATAAAACCACCATTCTTTCTTGATAAAGCTCAAAAAAAAAAAAAAGAGACACTGTCAGCTAATTAAGATCCAAATTTGTATTTGGAAAAAAAAATAAATTATTACTTAAACTGGATACAAATGGAGTTTAAATATAAAGTTCTCCAGAAAGAGTTTATAACCTGATTCAGAAGTGCTACAGCAACAAGAATCAGGAAGCGTGAATGAAAACAGATGAAGGGGAGAATGCAAAACCAAATTCAATTCTTTTGATGTTTCATTTAAATCTAACAGTTTAAAAAAAAAAAAAAAACTCAGGAACTTATAACTGTGACAGTGTCCCTTTTAAAGCATTAATACCCAAATTTGTTTCAACTGCAATGTACTGTAGAAATCACAGTATAGTTGTACGTTCAGCAAAGTCTCTACTGCTACTGATTCACGGCGTTTCTTTACTGGGGCAAGTATAACTGATTACAGTATGATTTTAAAAGGCAATAAAACAAATAAAACAATGTTAATGGCTAAGCTTAACCTTTTTTTTTTTTCCTTTCACCTGATACTGAATAAAATTATGCCAACCACAAAATGTAACTGCTATTGGTTTCATCTCGTCTGTGCAGAGTAATAAGGCAGAGCAGCTTACTGGCCACGCTTTATCTTCCTGCAATCCCTGCTACACCTGAACACAACTTTTCACTTAAAACTTGACACAAACAAAGCAGATAACACAAAAAAGACAAAGCCTGAATTTCAGCAAACCACTTAGCTGGAGAATAAACAAAAACCAACAGGATTTGATGCTTTTTTAATTCAGTCCTAATAAAGAAAGGAGAAAGAGGGACTGAAAACTTCAGCGTAGCTAACAGCTGTAGTCCTCTTTCCTGTAATTAATAGAGTCTAACTCTGCAAATTTGGTTTTATCTTTGACAACCACTCACACCTAGTGCAAAGAAACAAGTCATCTGAAAATGCTGTAGAAAACCCCCCCAAAAATGCATCTGCAGGCTTTTATGGAAGACTACACAACAGCTCACTGCCCTGCAATGCTAATAAAGCTATCAAAAACACAATTAAAAAGAAATTCTGGTCTTTAATATATATTTCCCTATTTAACTTGTCATCGGGACCACTCAGGACATAGAAGACTGGTAAATCAAGAAATAATACTAAGAATAATTTTTAAAACCAAGATTTGTCTTACTTGGTCGCTGAAGTGCCTTGATCTTGGACTGCTTTGTCGCGTGGATCAACGGTCGGATCTTTAACGACGGGTAACGTCGCCCCAGGGCTTGAGATGCTTCAAAGAACAAAAGTTGTCAAAATTAGCAGACTGAATTTTGGTGGCTTTAATAACAAAAAAAAAAAAAAATCAGTACATGGCATAATAATACTGAATAATTTGAGCTTCAGCAGCTGATGTGTTATCTCAAGACTTGTATGAAACCAGATAAAGTCATTATGGTCACCTCAGGTTTACATCACACACTCCACCCACAGGAAGAATCCCAAGAAAATATAAACACATTTAAAAATGTGTTTATATTTGTATTTATGTGTTAAAAAAAAAAGACAACTTTGTCATTATTAGACTTAAGCCCAAGAAAAAAAATGCTTAAGTTTTTGGACTACATATGCTGCTGGATGGAACCTCCTGTGATGGCT